GGGGGGGGGGGGGGGGGGGATTTCGCTGACCGTTTGGTGGTTTACGTTCTCATGTATTGTTCCATACAGCAACACATTCCGCGCACCTAATCTCATTAGGTCAAGATCTAAGCATAATGATTATTTGTAAACGAGTTAGTCAATTTTGGACGGTCCAAAAAAATAAATTTTACGTTTTACAGAAACATAATAATATCGGCCTTCTTCATCAGGTTCTCCTGTTTGTCGTGTTTGCGAGATTGTAGACACCACAGAAAGCTGCCACTGGGAAAGTCACGGACTAAAGAGCAAACCATTGCCATTATATTCTAGACTAAAAGCTATCCATTGGCATTGTATTCTAGACTAAAAGGTATCCATCCAGCTTACCTTGTTCCAGTGTTGTGGTGATGAGTCGACGCACTAGATATAGATCTAATGTTGTGTGTGGAGAAGGTATATCCAGTTCACTCAGCGCTTCTCACAGTCTCTCACTATGTACACAGTCTCTTTCTCTCACAGTCTCTCACTATGTACACAGTCTCTTTCTCTCACAGTCTCTCACTATGTACACAGTCTCTTTCTCTCACAATCTCTCACTATGTACACAGTCTCTTTCTCTCACAATCTCCGTCTCGCAACCAACAAGGTCTTCATCTCCCAGCTCTTGTCTCCTCTCAGAATGTACCTCGGGGGTTCCTGCATGTCATAGCTCCATCATCTACACACGCCTGGTTTGTGTGGGTCTATGTGTAGGTGTTTGTGTGGGTCTATGTGGTGACCTGTCACACGGTTTCTTGGTGCCAGGTCTTCAAGACTCTTACTCCAAAGCACGATGAACGATAACTCTGGATATAACACTCTATACCAGAGGCTTAAGCACAAGGCACGATGTTATTCCAACACACAGAAGAGAGAAGGGTTTCTGTGGTGAGCTATCCCCCGTGTCTATGTTTCTGTGGTGAGCTATCCCCCGTGTCTATGTTTCTGTAGCGAGCTATCCCCGTGTCTATGTTTCTGTAGCGAGCTATCCCCGTGTTCCCCCGTCACGGTTCAGACTCCCCTGACTCATCCAGTGACGAGTGTACGTTCACAGCCCGGCGTCTTGTCGTGAGTTGTTGCCGCACCATTAGCTCACACAGACTCACAGACTCACAGCGGCACCGGAGGAAAGTCCTGAGGCGTGAGGGGGAAGACT